AAAAAAAAAAGTCTTGTAGTTACAAGCCTGTAATTATACATAGTATAGAAAGAAAACTGCTCCTTGCCTATGGAAATACATATATTTTTTCAAGTTCTGACCCTTTCTAAGCTGCTAACCATCACACAACATATGCCATTTGGCAATTTGTCTCCTCGGATATTCACAAATTTCTTTCCAGTGCTCTCCACCTGTTCCTTCTGCTGAAGATCCCAAGGTTAACCTGCCAATGACCTCATTCCTTGACCCCATATCTGAATCTAAAACCAAAAATTCAATGCTGATATCATCAAGGCCCTCACAAGGAATGTCAAAGACAAATAATTCATTGAACACTGCATTGGGGGTGCATTTCTTCACATGGGTTTTCTTTTTAGAAATTCTCTTCTTAGCATGGTACAGGTTCACTTTGACATAAGGGTCTGCAATGAAAAGAGAGAACACAGATTAGTTTTGAACAGGATGATTTGGAATTTCCTTGATCTAGTTAATGGTAAATTTTAAAACTTACCAACATAATTACATCACAATGAGGAGATGTTTCAAGTTATTACAGATGATTCATCTCATCCAATGTTTACATCTGAATTAGTCCCTTTAAGCTCTCTTTATGATCATCAAAGATGTAATCAAGGTAGATGGTGAAGTTTAGGACATGATTCATCTGACCAAATGCAGGTGTCTCCTTCATGAAATAACTCCCGCCTTATGGTTCATTAAGCTTAAAATGATACAAAATTCTAATGGACTTTGACAAATATGTATCATTACATATTTATGTGTAATGGAAATCGTGTTCTACCAGTAGGTGATAATCATTACTGTTAATAAGACTTGTGCAAAGAAAAGCCTCAGAAAGGAAAGAGTAAGCTCATGCTGAGAAAATGGATGAATGGATATTATTCCTTTCTGTTGTGGTTTTACCTCCTACTAATAATTATAGAACAGATGTAATGCTAGACTTTAAATGTAAGGGTAGGTTGTTTTTAGGATATGTATTTGAATTTATGTCTGTAATGTACTACTATTTTTAGCTGTTAACCAACTTTGAGTGTTTGTGTTCCTCATAAACCTTTCTACTGAACCCAGTCAAACAAGATACCTTCTGTAAAAATCAACTAATAGACATCAGGAATAGTTAAGTGCTTTTTTTAAAAAAGTAAAATTAAAGCAGAACCATATTTAGAAATGCTATATCAAACATCAGACTGAAATGGTCAAATGATGAAAAGGCTTTAATTTCCTTCAACTGACACTAGTTCAAGAGAACTAAGGTATGATAGAAAACATCTTCACCTCACATTTGATCACAATAATAAACACTTTTAAAATAAGGTTTAGTGTTATTTAAATGTTTATTTGCTTTGGAATTACTATATGCCACACAAGCATTAAAAATATCAGGATCGATATCCATCAGTGGATTCACACTCTTGCTCATTTCTCTTTAAAGGATATTTGCTGACTGTTAATCCTGGTCATCTAGTAGATAAGGCTAGAATGTTCCTCTTGATTTTATTAGGGCTATTAGGAGACCTCAACATCAATGATCAAGGAAACTAAGGAGTTTCTGGGAATGGAACAGCTTCTGAATAATAAAGTTCCCATCTTCCTAAGGAGATTGAGCTATGCAATTGTTTAGCTGATCCCATAGAAACACCATTTCACCCTCCTTCTTGTCCAAGATCTATGCTGGGCTGAGGGGAAAGTCACAGAGGAAATAAGGAATGTCGTGAGTGCAGTATGTAACTGACACCCAAATTTCTATTGAACATGGCCTTGCTGACAAACCACAAATAATGGAGAACTATCTGAAGTAAGTGGGTGTCCAGTATGGCTGCCTCTATCTCTTACATTCCCCTTATAGTTAAAAAGGTTGTACTGAGGGAATTGAAAAGAGCAAACAATTTACAGTTTTACTCAGAAGAGATACAGTAAATGAATGTGTGGTTTGGATATGTTATAAGGTCCAAGTGGTGACTGAGACTAGGAGGACTTTTGTCTTCAGGTTATTTTCCCACCTGGGTGAACCTCAGGTAGATTTGGTTTGTTGAGATCAGCTTGCTGTCATGATGTCTTTATGAAACCTCTACTCTCTGCTCTGAATTTAGGGTTGTTTATTCAAAGTACATATGCTCTCTATTGGACCCCATTTATATCCTCTCTCCTTATATGAGAATAAAATTGAGATCAGAAGGAAAATTTCAACAGAACTCCACCACTTAAATGGGAGTTATCTATAGCTTTGTTGTGTCAGATCCAGGATGGGTTAACTTTCTAGGTAAATTGTGGTATTTCTTGGTATGAGAAGTAAAAAGACTGTATTATTGGCTGTCGAAATTGTGATTCAATGGTTCCCAAAACTACTTACTCTTCCACTTCTTTTAAAAAATCCTGTGAAATGAGAGGGTGTCAGTCCTATAATCAACAGCAGATGTGCAACTGTTTGTATAGGTCTTTGCTGTGTACTGTTATTTTTCTGTGGTTGTCTTACCCTTTTACATTGTATTTTACATTTTATTCTGTTATTATGCTACCTAGTATTAATGTGCATCAAAGTGCAATTCTAATGTTGGCTTCAGAGGAGTTTAAAAGGAGGAATGCAAAATAGCACATGAGAAAGGACTACAAAAACTGAACCTTCTTGCACAGCCCAAGTACATCTCACAACTGAGCGTGAGTGTTATGTTGCAACCTGCTTCCAGCACTGGCATAGTTCACCTTTTCACCTTGCCAAATAGATACTAATGCTCAGTGGGCCAAATTCAGCACAGATGTAACTGGTTGCTTTTCTTGGTGCTCAGCTTAAATAAACTGTACGAGGATCTCACTCAATACTGATCTTCTATAAATAAACTGATTTTTGTTATAAATAAAAGCTTTTAGTATCTGCAAACAACATCCCATACTTATGGCAGATGGGTTCTGTTCAAGACAATCACAAAAGTCACTGGTTTCCACTACTAACAGATGTCACTGTTTTTTAACTTGTGATTGAAAAACAAATTTGTAAAATACATACCCTAGCAAATAAATCTATTGACCTAGATATGAATAAAATTTGTAGGACGCAAATAATTGAGACATTATTTCTTCATTTATAGACTATTTTTAGTCTTTGAAATGCCACATTTCAGCTGTTGTCTTCTGTTTGTTTTATATTCTTAGGGCATATTCATTAGCAAAACCATTACCTGATAATCCTGACACATCAGATTTAGGTAGATGCCTGGCTTTTAAAACAACCACAGTGAGCGTGTTTGTTGTAGACTGATAACAGAGAGAGATCAGTAATTCTCCACGCCCAGATGATTTCTGAGGAAATGAAAGAAAACAGGAATAAGATTATTTATAAGCAATTATATTGACCAAGCTCTAAACCGGAACTAAGAAGATTTATGAAATTCCACATGACTATATGTTCTGATATGGCATAAAAGGACACAACTTATGGAGCTATACCACTTTACATAACAAATACAATTTCCCTTTACTCTAGTTATACAACTCTTCTTATAGTTAGTTATTAGACTGGACAAAAATAAATAATAAATAAGTGAAAATATAGGTTGATATGACATAATTAGCTTCAGAGATTAGGAATTAAATCCTACATCCTGAGGAAAAAAAGTCTCAGTGCAAGAAAAATATCTCAAAAGAAACAAAAATTCTGTAAAGATATATTGAAAAAAAAATTGACTAAAGGTAAATTTAAAAAAATTCTTCAGTAAAAGATTTTTAAACAGGCAGAATTCATTTAGTGAAATCTCACCTCTGACACTTTCTAAAGTAGTATAATATATGGGAAAGAAAGATGAGATCAAAGATTTTCTCTATGATCATTAGATTTGAGGAGTAGTTTATTTCACAGAAAGGAGGAAAGCAAGGAAAACAAGCAAAAATAATACCTCATACACCAGAAAACCCAGTAAATTATCAACAGAATATCAGTGACATAATTGTAGTTGTTGTAATATAGCAATAGAATTGTAAAATAACAGAGTTATTGGTATGTTGTCTGGTAGACATTTATTTGATTTGGCAGAATGCTTGGTCTTTGAAAATAATCAAATTGAAAGTCAATACACATTCCACTTCCTTAGTAGAGATTAAGAGACGTATGTGTGATGCATGTGCATTTCTGTGTTTCAGCTGTGATGGTTGTAAATGATCTCTCCTTTCTGAAATGAGACAAAACAGTATGAAATATTTTTAGCCCAGTCAAGTCAGTATGTCTGGCTATTGACTTCAGATATGCTTTGGTTTCTCCCTCATTTCATACTGTCTTTGGTAGGTCCGCACTCCAAGTCACAGTTCTTGAGAAAGAAGATAGTGACAGCACTGAAGTGCAAGAACATACTACTACGCCAACAATACTATCTCTAACAGGTTCCAATTCCTTAACTAAAGTCTACATTGTGTGCTTTAAGAATCTGCTATAAAAAACATGTGGCTGAAGTAAAAGATTTACACTGACTTCAATAAGCTTTAAGAAAGAATGATTTCAAACAGAAAAGGAGAGGGGGGAGATGGGAAATAATATATTAATATATTTCCTTTTAAAGTAAATTAATGGGGACTGAGGCCACCTGACCTTATGTAAAAGAGTCCACTCAAACCCACTGGACAAGCTGAGTAAGCAAATAGAGTTTACCACATTAGTAATTTCTTTCAACACACTCATTGTAATGTTCTTTTATTACATTTGTGTAATTGCATCCTCATATTGCCATTATGAAAGCATCTCAATGACTTGCATGATGAAGTTGTTCTCTTTTCTTTACAAGATGCTAACATCATTACACAAGAATCATAGCTAACACTAGCACACCACTTTTAAAGCTTAAATAAAAAATATGTTACCCTAACATTTCTTTTGATGATCTCTCTGTCCATTAGCAGTCTTCCTTCTGACAATTCAATTCCTGCAAGGGGAATGAGGACTTCTCCAATGACATCATCTCTGGAAAACCTGTCAAAGCTCAGGATCATAAAGTGCAATGTTAAGTCCTGAATTTGGCTATAGGGGATTCCATAAAATGTGAAGGTCTCATCGAAAGCTGGATCTAAGGTTTTTCTCAGCACTCTGGTTTTCACCTTGTGCTTTTTCTCAGGCAGGATTGTCATTTTGATGTAGGGATCAGAAGTCATTGACTGTTCATCCATTGCTGGCAGCCCACGTGCTTCTTTGATGTTCACTACAAATGCTTTTTTCTCAAAGTTGTACTCTAATGAGAAAAAGAGAGTTCCTAGCTTGTCTTGTTTATCTTCAGATGACAGGGAAGTGATGGATTTTAAACTATCAGGAGACACTGAGTCTTTCTTCCTTTCTGCAAAGTGCTTAGGAGACAAATTTTCAAGATCTGGAGAGCTCTGGATTTTAGGGGCTGTTTTGGGGAAGTTGCCATTTAGATCTCTCTTCTCCAGGTCAAGATGGAGAGAATTCTTTGGCGTTGCTGATTTATTCTTCACTTCATTTTTATCATCTGCTCCGAACTTCTTCTTACTGTTGAGATTCTCAGGGTAAATATCAACCCCCTTCAGAACATGGACAAACTTATATGGAGGGGTCTTATTTGATTTGGAAGATTTACGTTGACAGCAGATCCAAGCAAAAAGGGAGACAGAGAAGACAAGGCCAAATGCACTAAAGATCCCAACAACTGCAGGAATTTCATCTGCAAATCAAATAAATAGCAACAAGGAGATAAACAGCAATGCCTTGGTCTCTGTGTGACATTTAATAAAGTAATAATTTAGTGAAACAAACTGATATGAGATGGTAACAGCAGCAGAATCTACAGACAGAAAGTGCTTTGCATTGTACATATTGCTCGCCACCTGCAGGCATGAGTGTGTAGTCCCGTACTAAGGCGTGCTTGTTATGTTAGTATTTTTCCATACACTGAGTGTTTGGGAGGAAAACACTATTCCCATCCTAAGAGTAATAACAATTAGTAATTTCTTGGCTACACACCCCTGTATTCCTCTGTGTGTAGCTAGTTTTTGAGTCTATGTCCGTCAGTAATACCAACCCTCAGAAGGTTTCAGCTTTGAGTTTATGGACCTTGGTTGGTTAGATAAAAGATTCTGAAATATGCATTACTTATAGATATGTTGTCTGCTTTTCATACTGCTTCCTAGAATACTTTGTACACTCAATTAACTCATGTTTTATGGTGTGATTCCATAATTGCCTGCAGGTATCTCTTGAAAGAACTGAGTTTAATTGGAGGTTATAACACTCAAGAGTTTCAATGGGATTTCCAATACTTTGCAGGAAGAAGTCTATCAAGAAAATTTAGAATAATTATATACCAAATATTTCCACATGGATGTGACAATGGGCAATCACATATGAATCTAAAGCTGAAAAATTATTAAGTGTATCATTGACAACCACTAAGCTTTGCATTTAAGACACTATGAATCAAAGCCACTGGGAGTTTACAGGAAAGGTCACTACTTTTTAGAAGTATATAAGAAAAACATTAAAACATAATTCTCTTCTACTTTAATATGAATCCTAGACTTAAATTGGATAAAGAGAAAACTGAGCAAGTGTTACAACCTGAATTGTCTTGTGGATACATTAGTTACATATAGAGTATCATTAGCCCTTCAAAGCATGCATCGAAGGGGCAAATGAGCACAACTAATTGGAAATCCAATTTTGCCCATAAGTAACATTACTAAGTGAGTTTAAACCTCCCACAATGTAACAATAAGAGCTTAATCTTTATTCCCTGCAACAGTGGAAAACTAGTAGAATATTAACTGAATGATATTGTTTATGCATAAAGGCAATTGTGTAACAGTTCTGATTCTCTCTCAAATGATTAGCAGATCATTCTGGGTGAGAAAAGCAACACTATCCCCCTCTATGTATTACTAAATCAACTTCATCCTGGTAAAAGCTGGATAGATAGCCACTATAGCTTTGCTTTTTAGTAGGGTGATTCAAAAAACTCTACAATACTATCATAACAAAGTAGGACATAATGTTCCAGCCCAGAAAGTATTGGGCCTGGCTATTAATTTCTTCTGATAATATTCATGTCACTTTTGCTTTGCCTACAAGCTATATCAGTCCATACTTAATTGTAAGAACTTAATGAAATGACTGAAAATTATATACATAACCAAAAAGCATTTTTTCAAAGTTAGGCATGTGTTTCTGAGTTTCAAGAATTCTCTAGGCTGCAGAAATGTAAATATGTGTGGTACAAAGGTAAAAAGTGAAGCGTAATTTAAAACTAATCAGAATACTTTATTAGCTTTTGAGAATGAGTTGCACATTTATAATATTTTTTCATGAAGCAGCAGACTTTTATAGTAATGAAAATTATGGTATATTTTAATTCTACAACTTCTGAGAGCAATGCTAGAACAAATTTTGTGTTTAAAATATTAATCTTCCTTAAATAAGTAATTAGATAAGCATGATGTCACAAGTGGGGTTAGAAACACCAAGTGGGTGGGGTAGGAAAGAAGATAAAATGGTAACAAAAATCTTTTTTTCTTTACAATTTATTATGTTGCAAACTGAATTTCTTGCTGTTGTCATATCGTCAGTCTATTGGTTAACATTCAATGCAGTGCATTAATAGGAAACATTACCTATTGATTCTGGGTGAAGCTATTATTTCAGTTATGTGATATAAATCTGGAGTCACTTCACTTAAGTCAGAGGAATGATCCTTGAATTAAACCACAGCTAAAGTAAATATAATCTAGGTTAGAGTCAATATTTGCAAAGCAGAGTTCAGAAACATTTCTACTTACTGCTTTTCTAAGTAAAGCCAGTTATGTACCTATTTTATAAGTGCACATATACGGCTGTTTCTGAAACTTCTGATATCACAGTTAATTCCTCTATATCCAGTGCATAGAAATGACAAAACTGAAAAGTTCATTGTCATCATTGCTATTCTCAGTAAACCCAGATTGATCAAGACACAGCTCTTTAGCTACAAACCCTGGGATCCTGTATTTTCCTCTTCCTAGTAATGTCCTTTACAAGACTACCTTTCACTTTAACTAATGGTTGACAAGTCTATCTCTACAACAAGAAAAAAAGAATTACAATTTTTCCAAGAATTACACTTCAACAAAGATTTTCTGTGTGGCACGGGATGCATTTACATCATTTAACTCTGAAGCCACGCTACTTTATCCAAGACAGAGAGAATGACCCCCAAAACCTATCTTGTCTGAAAACGCACCTACACAAACCTCTTCCTCTCTCCCAGTCCTTTACCGAGGGGGAGAGGCTAGGGAGGGAGGAAGGACGAATGAGTCAGAGAAGGGAAAAGAAAGCAAATTCACAGAACTTCTGAGATGGAAGAGAACTAGGGGGGGAAATCAGGTTCCTCCCAACAAGCTGCGTGCTGGGAGGCACAGGGTGGCTCAGCAGAGGCTGCCTGCCTTCTGGTGGCTCCCAGTGGCTCCCAGTGGCTCCCAGTTCTCCTGGGGAAGGGGAGCAGCCCCCCCAGCCAAGCGGGCGCGCAGTTGGGGCCGGGACGCGCTTACCGAACTGCTGCCGGCTGGCCGCGATCGGAGCCATGTTGGCGCTGTCCGCTGTCCGCGGTGCTGGAGCCGCTGTCCGCGGTGCTGGAGCCGCCGTCCGAGAAGCAGGAGCCGCCTCTCCCGGGTACCGAGAGACCTGCCCAGGGCCCCGAACGCTTCTTTTCTCTCCGGGTCTCCGCTCTCACAGCTCCCGGGCACTTGTCTGTTCGAGCGTGTTCTTTTTTTTTTTTTTTTTGTAAAAAAAAAAAAACCCCCCAACACACCAACAACTTTCAATTTTATTTTATTACCTTTCCACCAGGAGACCCGAGCGGTAGGGAAGGTGGAGGAGGAGGGTGTGAGGGGGCTGGAGGAGAAGGGGGAGGGGAAGCTTCGGTCCTCCCCTTTGCACACTGATTTGCAACCCCCTTCCTGTTTTGGCTCTTCTGAGTAGCTCCGCTCCGAGACTGAAGACGTGGTTGAAACCCAAATTGACGCAATCCTGACGCTACAGGGCTGAAATCAGCACCTTTCCCACCTCCCATCCCCCTTTCCCAATCACCACACCCTCCCTCTCTCTCTCCCTCTTTTCTCTTACTGCAGGAATATGAACTCCCACCCTCCATTGGACCCAGACAGTGAAATGCTAATGTCTATGATTCAGTGCACCTTGTGTAACACATGGGTGTGTCTGTTTGGCTGGGGTAAGATTTACTTATTTGCTTATTTATCTGTCAGCTTGACAGGCTACAACAACATGCCAGAAGATGCCAACTCAGATGATCCAGACACCTTGGCTCCAACTGCAAGGCACTCATTTCCCCTATGACTAATGTCATACACTTACTGGATTTGAATCATGAAAACTCCTGATGTACCTTCTCTCTGTCCCTCCTCCCTGCTTCTTCCCATCATCCACCCCCACAAAAGCACTCAGCCCCTGCTCTGGAAATCCTCTTGACCTTCCTGTAGGTCTAGGAAAGATCTGGATCTACCTAGTTCAGATGTCTGTTTCCCAGTCTGGACTGAAAACATGGGGGGAGGCAGGGGTAGGCTGGCAGGCAGAAGTAATAGGGAGAAACAGAACAAGAAAGCAGGGTTGCCTGTAACTAGAACTGATACAATGTATAATAACCTGAGCTAAATCCCATGCAACAGAGCTGAAAAATCCAGCACCTGGCATCTGACTCTTCCTGGATTCAGAAAGAACCATAGAAGCCAAGTTTGGAGCCCAACTACTAATTCTGCTGCATACATGGAAAACAGGTGTTTCTGCTCTTCTATATAACAAAATGCAGATGCAGTCATAGTCTAGCATGCCCCTGCTCCATGATGGACCACTTGGAAGCTAGTACGTCTTGGCCCATTTTAAACCATCTTCTTGCTTCACAGTGAAGCCACTGAAGATCCTTGGATTTTAGAAAAAATAAAGTAGGATGGCCAAGGAATCATGGCAAGCTAGTGTCAAAACACAGCTGAATTAAATGCCTTTCTTATTCTGAGAGTTGAGAAGCTATTGGCTAATATTGTTTTTGCTTACCTGCTTCTGTTACGCCTTCAGCAACTTAGCCTTGGTATGCATCTGCACAGCTGTTCCAGGAACAGCCATATCCACTATCCCAATCTTTGTTACATCCCATCCCATTTAATAAAACACAGAAAATACCTTGCCACCACTGCTCCCCTTACAAACAACTGGACTACAATGATCTCAATCATTAGAAGACTGAAGAATCTGTTGTTTAGCTCTTGTTTGTCTTTTGGCAACACAGTTTGGTTTGGGAAGTTTGGGTTCACATGTTGGCACCAATCCAAGCCAATCTGGCTCAATTTCTGTCTTCTTTCTGGCAGCCCTCCTTGCCCCCATCCCTGCTATCCACTTCCCTTTCTCTGTCCAAAAGCCAGCCTTGCTCAAAATGTGCATCCATTGAAAGTAATTACATTTGATCTTAGACCACATTTCAGGTATATAAGCCTCCAGACATGACTGAATTAAGTAAAACCCTTAAAAAAATTTAGAGTTAACATGTTTAGCTGGGATGTTAAACTATTGTAAGCTGCTACTGTGCCTGAACTTCAAAAACAATGGACCAAGAATCAATATATGATATGTCTTAGTGGTGTGTTTATCATATTTCAGTTGGGATATGGTGAATATACATATTATATTGACAATTGAATTATTTTCAATAATTTTTGAAGCTTTTTAATTTTATTTTTGAATGAAATCCAAGATATTCTTTGTTAATATATTAAAAATTTATGGAGCGCATGGAAATATAACAATGATTAGTTCAATTTTTTTTTCCTTTACTTTTTCAAATATCCCAAGGTTATATAAAAAGCTTTTATACAATTTATATATCTTTACACAGTTTACAGAAATAATTTCTTTTAGCATTCAGGGTTTGGTTTTTGTTTTTTTTTTTTTTTATTTTCTCTGACAATACTGATGAAATGGGGAAGATCCATGCCTTTCTTTTCTTTTTTTTCTTTTTTTCTTTTTCCTCTTTCTTACCAAAATTCTTGGTAGTTCATGCTAGATTTTAGACACTAGTTAAGGCTTGTATGGTGCTGAACACTGTACAAACGTATAGTACAGAACCTTTCTTTTCATCTCAGTTGTGTGTATATCTAGCTCTTTAAAGCAATATAAAAAAGGTTTCATGATATTAGGTCTCTGCCTTTAGAAACTTAGAGCTGCCAAGACTGTGTATATACATAAGCATGTGTGAACATGTAAACAGATATGCAAATGAATGCTTTTATCGATTCATTACGTTGGTCAGTGAAATAGAAAATAACTATTTTTTTTACATCACTCATGAACCTTCTATATTTAATTACATGACTCTACTTAATGGAACAGAGTGTGCATCACAGAAGATACTCGGGGAGGAGGTGGAGCATTGAGTTGCTGACACATCTTGAAACAGACACACTTTTTGCTCCTTATGTTGTGCAAGCACCATCTAGTGTACGTCTTAGAACCTTCAGCACCAGATGACTAGTGTACACCCATTTAGGTAGTACAAAGACAAATATACATAGCCAACTCACCGCTGCTTCGTTACACTTCTGACAAGCAGCCAGAGGGAAAAAATCATCATGTGAACTCTGTGTGTTTCTTAACCTATTAAGTGGTTATCTTTCAGTTCAGTCTCATGCACCAGTAATGACTCCCTGTTTTTGTAGCTTTATGTTCTTCACATTTCCCTCTGTTGTCAGGAAACATCCTGGATACTTTCGCAAGACTTCGCACAGTTTGCAACTGACTGTTCGATAAAAACTTGGACTAGGAACTCTCTGCCCCAGGTAATGTTCCCTTAGGAATATTCCTTATTCCCCTTTCCCTATTCCAGCAGAAAAGCTACAATGATACCAAATATTTCCAGCTCAGAAACTGAATATTAAGAGGAACTGGTTCAGATTTTGCCTGTGCTGAGTTGAAATGAACTGATTGCAAAATATCTCTGTCTATGATCTGGCTGACTATCACAACAAGGCCTTCTGTGGTCTGAAAACCAGATTACCAGTGCACATGCATGCGCAGAGCATCCTCCTGCTACTCTGAGAAGAGGGAGGGTGGTTGCTAAGCGACAGAGTCCATACACTTCCCAAAGTAGATAGTCCTCAAATCAGCCTATGGGGTTGGAAAAGGTGGTACCTCACCTGCAAATGAACTGTCACCGTTCTTCAGATCCCAAAGCTTGTCTACAAAGACAAGCTAATCCTCTCCCTTAAAAAAAAAAAAAAATAAAGTTATTCCAAACAAGATCCTGCCCCCCACCCCAGCCCCAAAAGTCAACCAGCATTTAAAAATAAAACTCAGTGATTTATATGTGTGAGGTGAAGCTGGTGAAACAGCCCCTTTCCATGTCTGCGAAACGTTTCCCTGGAGCTTAAAGACAGAGTTTCACATTTTCAAAAATAGCATCTAATTTTTGAGTTCTGCACTTGCCAGGTGCCAAACTACAGGCACTAATTAATACTGCTCAACACCTATGAAAATCAAGCCCTCCAGCCATACTTATAAAATAGAACCTCAATGAGAACATGGGTGTAAGCCCCTGATTTTGGGAAGTGTAGAGTATTCAACACTTTTGAAAGCCTAACAACTTCAGAGGGATCTACAAAAGGATTTAGGTAGTTACATTTTGCTTAATTTCCGCTTCAGTTAGCTCTGTGATTAGCCAGTGGAAAGGGGCCAGCATCTGTCCATTTCTTATCTTCAGCCTTTGACACTCCTTAAATGCCTAAAAGCATGTTTTTGGATGACAAACACACACACACAAGCCTGGACTGGAGACTCAGTCTACCGCCTATTTGACCTTACAGACTTACCATTCCTCCCTAGGTTGTGACTGAATTCAGTTTCACACATTTTAATGTCCGGTGTTACATGAAATACTTCAGCATGACTTCCAGTTTCTGCTGCAGAATGGTGCACATTTTCTGGACTGTATTTACCAGTCCCATGTGGATATATCAGATACCACATAGTTTCTGAAAAGGCACAAGATATACAGATTTAGGTAAAACGAATCATCCTCTAGCTCATACACAACATCTCAGCATCTACTTTCAGGCCTACAAATCTGCAGGATAATTACTCTCTCTCTGAGGCTTGTTTGAGTTGCCTCTGAAAGGCCTCTAGAGCCACTGAAAAGCACAAAAAATCCAGAGAGAACTCGTGGATACAAGACAGGATGAACAGGAAACCTGGAGCTGCAACTGAAGGTGTGGTAGAGGTGCCTGCTAGAGTGTTTGGGCTAGGTAAACTGCCTCAAATATCATTATACAAATTAATTTGTGCAACTGAATAAATTCCTTAGCTCCCCTATAGATGTGTAGAAATCTAAATAAATGTTTTAAACGTGAAACTGAGTAATGGCCCAGGGATCAGCTATAGGCTGAGCAAAACCTTTGTCTTGACTCCACTGGCTTTATTGACCAGACACTCGTTTTCTACAGTGGGAATTTAGAATACCTATTGCACATACAGACTTGAAGTTTGGTATGCTAGTTTAAAGGGTTGACCTCCATTCCTAGGGTTAGGTGAAGTGTCTAAAGTTACTGTTGCATTTATTCATAAAAAAAAAAAAAAGAAAAAATTAAAAGTAAGGATTTTTTTCTTCTCTATATTGTCACTGTGTATATTGGTGTCTTGAAGAGACTGTAAGATTGGGTGGATACAATTTCAGTAGGTTAGGGGTGATGTTTATATTAAGGAAGCACCACTGTTTGCTTGACTGATTACAAAGT